GATCATTAATACCTACTTTGAAAATCTTTACTCCTATAGGATAGAAAACTCAGAAGAAATGGACAGATTCCTAGATATGTACGAATTACCAAGGTTGAGTCAAGAAGATACCAAATTCCTGAACAACCGAATATCAATTAATGAGATTGAAAATGTGGTTGAAAACCTACTGACAGAGAAAAGCCCAGGCCCTGATGGATTCACAGCAGAATTTTACAAGAAATTCAGAAAAGATTTAATACCAACACTCCCCAAACTCTTCAATGAAACTGAAAAGAAAGCAGTTCTCCCTAACTCATTTCTGGAGGCAAGCATCATACTGATACCAAAACCAGAGAAAGACTCAACCAAGAAAGAGAACTACAGACCAATCTCCCTAATCAATATAGATGCAAAGATACTCAATAAGATACTAGCAAAAAGAATGCAGCAAGTCATCAAGGAAAATCATACACCATGACCAAGTCGGTGTCATTCCAGGAATGCAGGGTTGGTTCATTATTCCCAAATCTATAAATGTTATACGCCACATCAACAGAGCCAAAGACAAAAACCACATAATCATCTCAATATATGCACAGAAAGCTTTCGACAAAGTCCAACATGCATTCACGATAAAAACTACAGAAAATAGGAATAGATGGTCTTTACCTTAACCTGATCAAAGTCATCTATGACAATCCAACAGCCAAAATCATCCTAAATGGACAAAAACTGAAAGCTTTTACTTTAAAATCAGGAACAAGACAAGGATGTCCGCTTTCACCACTCCTGTTCAATATAGTTCTGGAAGCATTAGCCAGAGCAATTAGACAAGAGAGAGAAGTAAAAGGAATAAAGATAGGAAAGGAAGAAGTAAAACTATCACTATTTGCAGATGACATGATACTTTACATGGAAGACCCCAAAAACTCCACCAGAAGACTCCTTGAATTAATCAACAAATTCAGCAGCATAGGTGGATACAAAGTCAACACTCAAAAATCAATAGCATTCCTATACACAACAAACAGACTGAGAGAGAAATTAAGGAAACCATACCTTTCACAATAACATCCAAGAAATTGAAATACTTCGGAATCAGTTTAACAAAAGAAATAAAAGATATATTCAATGAAAACTACAGTACTGTGAAAAAAGAGATTGAAGAAGATTTCAGTAAAGGAAAAATAGTCCTTGCTTATGGATAGGAAGAACCAACATTGTGAAAATTGCCATACTCCCAAAACTGCTGTACATATTCAGTGCAGTTCCCATTAAACTACCATTAACATACTTCACAGATCTCAAGAAAACATGCTTTAAATTTATCTGGAACCAGAAGAGACCCAGAATAGCAAAAACAATCCTGGGCAACAAGGACAAGTCAGGTGGAATCACAATCCCTGACCTGAAATTATACTACAAAGCTACTGTCATAAAATCAACCTGGTACTGGCTAAAAAACAGATCTGAGGATCAATGGAACAGACTGGAAGAAACAGCCACAACCACAAACACACTCAGCCACCTAATCATTGATAAGGGGCCAAACAAACTCACTGAAAGAATGGTAGCCTCTTTAATAAATAGTGCTGGAAAAATTGGCTTGCCACCTGCCAAAGACTGAAAATAGACCCAAGTCTGTCAATCACCATGCACCAAACTCAAGTCAGAATGGATCACAGATCTCAATATTAAGACAGAAACACTAAACCTATTGGAAGAGAAAGTAGGTAAAAACCTTGAAGACATAGGGATAGGCAGAGAGTTCATGAACAAAAACCAAACTGAACATGAAACACTTGAAAGAATCAACAACTGGGATCTCATCCTACTGAAAAGTTTCTGCACATCTAAAGAAATCACCAGCAGAGTCAAAAGAAAACCCACAAACTTGGAAAAAATTTTAGCTGACTGTCCCTCAGACAAAGGGCTTCTATCTAGAACATATAAAGAATTAAAAAATATCAGCCCCCCAAATTCAAAGACCCAATCCAGAAATGGGCAGCTGAGATGAATACGCAGTTCTCAGATAAGGAAATACAAATGGCAAATAAATACATGAGGAAATGTTCAACATCATTAGTCATTTGAGAATTGCAAATTAAAACAACATTGAGATTCCACCTTACCCCAGTAAGAATGGCTAGCATTAAGAAATCAACCAGTAACAAATGCTGGCGAGGCTGTGGAGAAATAGGAACCCTTCTCCACTGCTGGTGGGAATGCAGACTGGTGAAACCACTGTGGAAATCAGTTTGGAGATTCCTCAGAAAACTAGGACTAGAGGTCCCTTTCAACCCAGCTATTCCCCTTCTGGGTATTTTCCCAGAAGATCTAAAAACATCATATCATAGCAATGTATGTGCACCTATGTTCATAGCAGCGTAAGTTGTAATTGCTAAACTGTGGAAGCAACCCAAATGTCCATCCACTGAGGATTGGATAAGAAAATTGCAGTACTTTTATATAATGGAATATTACTCAGCTATAAAGAAAGATAAACTCGAGGCTTTTATGGGTAAATGGTCACAACTAGAAACCACGCTCATAAGAGAAATAAATCAGACCTGCATGTGCAAGCACTGCATTGTCTCAGTAGTGTAAAACCTGAAAGAGTTAATAAAAACTTGGAGGTATGATAGACATTGTGAAATGAAAGGAAAATGCTTAAGGGTAAAGGGCAACTGGGAGGTGGGAAAAGGGAATTGAAAGAAGAAGAAATTTCGTATGTATGTATATACAGGATAGTTAACATAGTTGATCTACTGTCTTCTATTTCTTTGCTGAAAGAAACAGTTAATGAGTGCTTGATTGATCAATACTGCATGTGTCTATTTGTTTTCATGAGAAACCACTTTGAAGATATCACTATGTAATACAACAAGCATTGTTAATTTCCTACCACTTTGTAATTCTGTATTGTTTTGCTATTTTGTAAATGGTTGTCTGTCTAGTGTTTTCCTCCTTTTATTTTTAAAGTAAAAAAATAAGAGTTGGAATGCAAGGAGGAAAGAAGTGGTTTATACACATGGGCAGCATGGGCAAAGGCCTAGAGTGGTCCAGGAGTAGAAATAGAAATTAGAATCAAAGAAGTCTGGGAGAACTGAATTAATGTTATACCCGTCTCTGCCCATTCGCTGTCTGAATATTTATTTGCCTCTTTTCATGAGAAAGCTCAAATGTTGGTGCTTAGATTTTTCTAATGAGACTTTCCAAGTGAGGCCAACGCTGTGACCTGAACCATTGGCATGTGGCTATTTAAAAAAAGCGTTTCGTGCAATTTTTCTTTTACCATCCCCAACCATTTCTTACTCTTATCACTATTATGTTAGCGGCAGGCTTGTCTGAGCAGCTGAATGCACATTTTGTGTTCACTGCTCTGTACCGCTGCTTTGGAATGACAGAGATGAAGAGAATACAGGCTCCCAAGTCTGTGTCTTTAGGTCTCAATGGTCAAATGTGCCTTTTAATGGTATTTGAAGATCCTGTTTCTTTGTTTGAAGGACATTCTCTCTGCCTGTGAAAAGAAAAAAAAAAATCCTTTCACTATGTAAAGGTGATTTTTATGCTGCTGGGTGATTTTTTGGGGGGGCGGGGAGCAGAATTGAACTCAGGACCTTGTGCTTGCCAGGCAGGCACTGTGCCACTAAGCTATCTCCCCGGCCCTGGGTGATATATTTTTAAATAACATATGGTAATAATTTAATATCGACATAGCAGTCCACGTAAGAGAGACTGGCTTTGTGTTGGTGCTTCTCTAGAGCAGTGGTGGTGAATGGACAGCAGTTGTGGCACAGCAGGCTATTTGTATCATTGACAGTTACACAAATAGCCTGCTGTACAAATACAGTTACACAATACAGTATACAAATTAGTGGGATATTTGTATCATTGAAAGCTCTAAAAGCTTTGCCATTACTGCTCTGGGACTTTCATTTTTGTCCTGTATGAAAATATCTCAGGAAGAATGCCTTATATGACTTTAGCAGGTTTTTTTTGCAAGGTAACCTATGCCATGAAATCACAAAAGAAGTTTTCTTATAAATTTTGTTGACTGTAAGGAATTATGGGATATAATGCATTTTTGTTATAGTTGGTACTTTAGATTAGCAGTATGTTTTAATAGGTTGAAATTGTGTTGTGTATCCTTTGAGAATAGTATAGTGTGTCATTGGTGAAGTGAAGCGTTTGTTTTTATCTCCTTTTCTAGGTTTCAGCATTAAAAACAATGGCCAGCCAGGGAGGTCCCAAGTATACCCTCTCCCAGCAGCCTTGGGCACAACCAGGTATTCAGATTTTACTACCGTGGATTCCTTTTCTAAGATATTGTTAATTTCCATTTATATACCTTCACTGTGATGGCTTGGAGTTGGTTCCCTGTTCACCTGGGGTACTATGATCTGTGTTAAGGCAAGATTCAGTTTGGCTAGCACTGTGTGTATCTCAGTAAGCATTTCAAGAGAGGAAGAATTTTAAAAAATTTAACCCAGTTAAAAATAAAATGTGGCTTAAGTGGAAACACTTCGGAATCTGCTTTCTGTGTGTCTACTATTCTTTGGGTTAGATAGAGCTTTGATGAAAATAATGTGTCTGACAGAATGAGGTTATGGAGAGAGAACACCTATTTTTAAGTATATGAAGAAATGCGGGGGCCACTGTTTCGTTCCACATTTTCTCCAAGTTACATCCTCTGTTGATATTTGAGTACTTGAAAAAAATGTAAAAATTGAAGTATCACTTGGGGGTTGGCAGGCAGGCAGTCAGGAAATCACCTGCCTGATTTGCAGATAACTGAAAAGTCCAATCCTACTCTTGCCTAGATGGTTTTTGTTTTGGCTTGGCTTTTTTTGTTTGTTTGTTGGCACTACAGGGTGTTTTGGTTTGTTTTTGGGTGAGTGAGAATTCTTTTTATTTTTGTTTCTTTGTGTTTGGGATTGCTCTCAAGGCGTTACTACCTTAGACAAGTGCTCTCCTGCTGAGATGTAACCCCAGCCTGATGGGAGAATTCTTTAGTGTTAGATGTAAGATATTTGGTCCTACCTAACTTTGTGTTATTTCTAGTACATTTTGTGGCATTTTGGAGTTGCCATTAAACCAGAACAAATCAATTTATTAAATTGGTATTTCTGACCATCTCTGACCCATATTTTGAAACTAAAAAGGCTGAAATCATGAAAGAATGATATTTTTATTATGAGTAAGCTGTGCCAAAGTTGGAAAGTAACATTTTGCTCGTATTGAAAGAGTTCCAGTGAATGATTCTAGTTTTGTATTCATGAAAATTGGCTGTCTATAGATACCTAATATGGAATCAAGTTTTTAGATAGGGCTGATTTTTCCATAAGAGTGTTATGTCTGTCAGGTATTCATTTCCTTTGGGAAAAAGGATTGAAGCCATTTTAAACCTCCAGAATTTTCAGTTATTGTGAATGCCTTAAGTTAATTTAAAGTTGGACCAAGAAGTTAAGAGTAGCTGTATATTTCTTAGGAAGATGTACAGTTGTAGAGAATTATCAGTTGTCTTCAACAGAAGGAATTGCATTTCAGAGGTTATTTGTATGCACATTGAGGATGTCAGTACAGGTTTTCATTGTCTTGTTTCATTGCAGATAAACTTTGTGATGTACCTTTTGTTTATTATGATGGAGACAGTGGATGTTCTACTGTACTTGTTATTTTAAACACGAGTATTGTATATTAGATTGAAATCTTTAACATCTTTAAGAAGCAGTGTACTTGATGCAGGTGTACATTCTGTCATAAGACAGAAGTCAGAATCTTTTACTGACAAGACTAGAAATTCTACTCATGGTCTGTGTTAGTGTCAACTTCCTATTCTGATTCTTCATAGTCAAGAAGCAGACTTATCAGTCCTGAACTCACCTTGACCCTTGGAGCAATATTAGTGATCTGGTTTTGTGGTTTCAATCACTTATAAGGCTTATTTAGAAATAGGAGCTGATTTGTAACTTGAATGTTTATGTAAATGAAACTCTTAGATGCAATAAATCTTTCTTAAAATAGGTAAAAACAGAAGACAGGCATAGACATATTTAGTACAACTAAGCCCAGAGACTTCATGCATAATTAACATACTGTTCTTTCCATTTTAGGAAGATCAGAGTAGGGGCTATTACTTCCCCAAGTGGAACCCTAACAGAATTGACAGTATTATGTGTATTGTGCTCTTAAGAATGTCGTTAGTAAAGCAGGAATAGATAAAAGAAGCTGACACAGGACTGACTGAACTAGGGCTTGCTCTTTCATTGTTTAACCCATTTGGTATCTTTCTCAGTGAGGCTGTCTTACTGCATATAGCAATGACTGTGTAGTCTTTTTTTTTTTTTTTTTAAATTTTGGGACAAGGTCTCATTGTATAGTTCAGGCTGACCTTGAACTTGTGATCCTCCTGCCTTAACCTTCCAAGTGCTAGGATTACAGGCGTGTGCCATGATGCCCAGCAGACCATTCACAACTATTCAGTCTATCTTGTAGTTGTTATCTTCTGTCCCTTTGGCCCTAGGGGAGGTGTGGCATTGGTTTTTCATGGTTTATAATATATGGAGCCCACACTTTAGTGTTAAAAGAGATTTATGGGCTGACAGCATCTAGGAACTGTTTTGAGCCCCTCTGCCTTAGAAATCCAGGGTGACAGTCCATGCAGAGCTGGTCAGGTTTTGAGGGATCATATCATGAAGACTCACAGGACAATGAGTTATAAATCAGGATACCAGTTTGTTAATTTGCTCTAGGATAAGATTTGGGGGGTATCAAGGGCTCTGAAAACTGATTTAATGATTCCTGAAGTGTGTTGGTGATGACAGAACCAGAGCCCATGGAGTAAGCGTCCAGCAGGAGCTTTCATTTATTTAATGAAAAGCAAACCATTCTGGAGTGTTTTCTTTTTTAGAACATTGGCACTTTCTTGTCTTGTTTTACTACAGCCCTTCTTGGTTAATTTTTTTTACATGGTATAAAATTTGAATTATGACAGGCATGAAATGAAAAATTATATTTTCCACCTGCAGACTAGTCCTTCTCTCAAAGGTAACCACTGCTGCAGTTTCTCTCCCCAGATTGTTTATGTATATGCAGGCTAATCTGGACTTCAGACTGTGTTACCCAGATGAGGTTGGGCTGTGCCCCTTGCTATTCTCAGTTCTGTGCTTGTTGCAGCGCTTCTGCACCGGCATGTCCAGCTCTGGCCACTATGTGGTGAATGCATAGGGTACATCACCTTGACACGGTTTCTTCAGTAATGCTGTGAAGGGATAGTCAAATTATTTTTAGTTAGTGTTTCTATATAGTTGTCAATAAAAGTTCTTATATAGACCTACATATCTTGGTAGTTTGTGAGTTATATTAGTAGAATAAATTTTTAGTAGTTGAAATGTTAAGTGAAAGCATATATGTATTTTCAGTTTTGCTAGATGATGTCTGGTATCCCTCAAAAGAAGCTGAGCTGTTTTATGCTCCTCTCAGCAGCTAATGAGGATGTAGTTGTCCCTCAGTCTCTGTTTGGGATCGGTTCCAGGACTTCCCACAGATAACCAAAACCCACGCACGCTCAAGTCTCATATAAAGTGATGTATACTTTAGATCCTCTCTAGATTACTTATAGTACAATATAAATGCTGTGTTAATAGGCATTATACTGCATTATTTAGGGAATGACAAAATGAAAAGTCTGAAAATGTTCAGTACAGATACAGCTTTGGGTTTTTTTTTTTTTTCTTCTGAATATTTTTGATTTGCATTTGGTTGAATCCATGAATGTGGAGCCTGTGGATGTGAAGGGCCAAATACCTGTTTCCCTACATCCTTGTCAAACATGGATATCCAGTCTTTTTGGCAGTTGTAAATATATTTTTTTTTATTTTATTTTTTTTTTTTTTGGGTTTTTCTCCGGTACCGGGAACCGAACTCACGACCTTGCGCTTGCCAGGCAGGCGCTTTTTGCCGCTGAGCTAAATCCCCAGCCCCAGTTGTAAATATATTACTGCTTTAATTTATATTAATTTTGAGTGAGATTGAGCATCTTTGAGATTCTATCTTTTCCTTTGTAGCTCTCTAGGTAATTTCTTCTCTTAAATACTTCATGCAGATGACTGCTCTTCCTTTCTGTGTATCCCTTTCAGACAATACATTGGGCTTACATAGTTGTTTTTTTAAAGTTCTGGAATTCTGTTCCCTGTCTGATAATATCGGGTAAGAAGGTAGCAGATATTTAGTTCTGATTGTGTGGATATCTTCCAAATGATCAAAGATACGTGCTTATTTATTGTGAAGTAATTCTTACTAGTGGCTCTCTAAAAATGAGTTTTTAAAACTCTACCTCTTACCACTGAATTCTAAAGATGCATATGATGGCCCCAGGAAATGCCTTGCAGCATGCTTAAGGAATTTTTTTATTGCCTTAGTCTTTGGGGTTAGAGTTTTGTATATAGCGGATACTTAGTGTTTATAGGGCTTGTCATTAAACTTGATAAAAAAAGTCTCTGTTTCTTTCTTTATTCCCTTCTGCATTAAAATGGAAATGTTTCTTTTTCTTTGTGACACTAACAAGATTATTTTTTTTGCAGCAAAGGTTAGTGACCTTGTGGCAACTGCGTATAAGACAATAAAAGCAAAGCTGCCTGTGACATTGAGAAGCATGTCGCTGTACCTATCCAATAAAGATACAGAGTTCATCTTATTTAAACCTGTTAGGGTGAGTAGCACAGTGATAATTTATTTGAATGCTGGTCAGTGCATTCCAGTGTTCTTTTCTCAGCTACCATTTTTCTTTTCCTATAGACACTTAAAAATATTTGTATTCTATTCTGGTGAATTTGATTAGTAGTCACCATGATTCTTTAAGATATAGAGCCTGTATCTGTCTGAGTCTATCTTCCTCCACCCTAATCCTCACTTTGTCTTAACTTTTTAGTACTAACTTCAAAATTAGAAACAAGTAAATAAAAAATCAGATCCTCGCATTGTGTGTGGCTCAGCCCTTGCGAGAACAGCATTTCAGAATTGTGTTCCATTTTCCTAGGGAACAGTAGCAATAAATGGCTGGCAACAGCCATGGAGGGATTAAGCGTGGAAGCAAAATTTAAGACTCATATCTTCAGGTTCTGTGTTGAGCTCACATCTTTTACCCAAGATGTTGATTTTTAAAGTACATTTTTGTATGTCTTGGAACTTTATTATCTTTGGTGTAAGAAATTGCTGAAGACTTCCTGTGAGAGGACAGAGATTTCTAGAAGTTAGCTTTTCCAGGAAATATTATTTGATAAGTCTTCATCAGGTTATGCCAGCCTGTGAAGCATTAGGTTCTGATTACATCTTTAGTGATTTCATGAAAACACATTTCCTCCACTTGTTTTTAGTGAGAACCACCCACGGTGATGTAATCTCAGTGCTTCAGGTTTAAGACATGTGTGTTTCTTTTGGCACATGTGATCTGATGTCCTCTTCTTTTTTCTAAGAATAACATTCAGCAAGTCTTTCAGAAGTTCCATGCTCTGTTGAAGGAAGAGTTCAGCCCCGAAGACATCCAGATCATTGCTTGTCCTTCCATGGAACAGGTAATCTCTGCACTGAACTTTACGCCCCCTGGGTTCTTTTACTTGGATAGATAATACGTTGCAGGAAGGTTGATTTTAGTTTTAATTTTTAAAACTGTACATTGTCTATCCTGATTAGCAAGAATTCAAACGTGGAATTGCTTTTGAGGGACAGTTTTAAAGCTGTAGTTACATTGTAACCTTGACAGTAAAATCTGCTCTGTTTAAAATAATGACCAATTTGTGAAAGACTTGAATACTGGCGTTTATTTAGCTTGCTGAATCATTTTGACTAAAATATGCACACTTAAGTGAAACAGAGTGGAGATTATTTTAAAGGTTAAATGCTAGAAATGTTTTTTCTTTTCTTCCTAAATTTAAAAAACTGAATACAGGGTCAGTTTGTGTTAGGTATCACTCATTCATTCAGTCCAGTCAGGAGATTTGTAGAGTGCCCATTGTATATTAGGAGTGGCTGGTGCTTTGCAGAATAGCTCACTTCCTAGGTTTGGTGTATTTTCAGCATTCAGTATGTGGTAAGGACTAGAGCGCTATGGATGGAGAGGGAAGGGTGATGAAAGCCTGGGTGAAATTAGGAGAGGCTGTGGAGAAGGGAACTGGCAACGTTTTGTTCTAATAAGGAGGAGAAACCTGGAGGGAGAAATGGGGCCTTTTTAAAAATAGAGATGTAATTTACTTACCATATAAGTCACCCTTTTAAAGTGTAGAGTTTAGTGGTGGTTTTTAATATATTCACATAATTGTGCAATCATCACCATTATCTGAAGCCTGAATATTTTCATTAGTCTTTGAAGAAACCCCTTGCCTGTTAGCAGATTTTCTGTTCCCCGTTTCCCTACAAGTGGTCTCTATCTATTTGCTTATTGTGGATATTTCATTAAACGAAATCATAGGAAGTATAGCCTTTCGTAACTAACTTCTTTCATTTAGTGTATTTTCAAGCATGTGCCAAAACTTCATTGTTTTTATGGCTGTGTAGATATCTTTGTGTGGATAAACGGGGATCATATTTTAAAAAGATAACCCTGTAGTTGTAGGGGTGTACAGTCAAAACACTTTTTATAAGTCATTTGAAACAACTTTTCTGGATGGTTGTGATACCAGCTTGCTATATAGTTAGGCTTGTTTTCAGTGTTTCAAGCTTTAATTTTGCTTTGTAGTTATGTGAAATATTTATGTGGCTCTCAAGTTAGAATTACAGAACAAGGTAAATTTGCAGAAGTCCTTCTTTCCTTTTGGAATTCTGTCTAGCCTTTTCCCTCCCTCTCCTGTAGATCACTTTTTTTAAATTACTCACTGGATCATACATCTATCGATTTATTTATTTTTTTCAATGATTGAGAATCACATGTTTGTATGTTCTTGGCAAAACTTCCCTGAGCGGGGAAATGTCGTGAGAGACAAGTGTCGGGTGGAGTCTCAGGGATAGTGGGTGGGCTCTTGGGCCTGTTGTGGGAGAGGAGAAGTCTGGTGTGTGGGTACAGCAGCAGGAGGTGGTGGGTGTGGTGGACTATGAGAGCCCTTGTCCAAGAAGCAAGTCCTAATCTCAGCAGAGTAAGAGGCAAGATCATTCTGAGAGTGAGGAAGTGAGGAGTGTGAGGTGTTGGAGGAGGAAGGCCCAGCTGAGTTTAGTGGTTATGAATCCATAAGAGATCATTCAACTTAAGCTATCCAGTTTTCTCTTCCTGTAGTCATGATCAGTTACATGAATGCAGCTGTGGAATGGGTGGATCAAAAGCTCCAACTGTGTTAGTCTGTTTTCCACGACTGTAGCAAATACCCAAGATAATCAACCTATAAAAAGAAAAGGTTCATTTTGGCTAACAGTTTGGGGTTTGTTTTGGATCATGGTCAGTTAGTTCTGTTGCTTTTGGGCCTGCAGCAAGGCAGCACATCGTGGTGGAAGTCTGTGGTGTAGTGATGCAACTCAGCCTCCTGGCCAGGAAGCAAAACAGAGGTGGGTGAAGGGAGTGCAAGTCCCGGCCCCCTTTAAGGGTGCCTTCCCAGTGACCTGAAGGCCTCCCTCTAGGTCCCTGCTCTTACAGTTTCCACTGTTTCCCAGCAGCATGTGCTGGGGAGCAAGCCTTGAACACATGGGCCTTGGCATGACGTTCCAGATCCAAGCTATAGCTCCAGTCTGTAGCAGTATAAATGCATTCTTTTAAACTTAACAGAAAAGGTGCAAAAATGGTATAAGAGCTCCCATATGTTTCCTTTTATGCAATTTATAGTCTGCCCCTTGCTGTGCCATCTTAGCTTTTCGCCTCTGTACTCCTCTTTTAGGTCATTTGCGAGGAAGTTGCTCCTTTACTCCTGAGTACCACAGAGTGCATTTCCCGAGAAAGAACATTCTCTTACATTGCTCCTTCTTCTGTAGTTTTCAAAGCTTGAAATGTAACACTGATGCTGCGGTCTGATCCACAGCTCATACTACACATTTGTCTAACATACTACATGTACTACACAGTGTCTAACAAGGTCCTTTACAGATACTGTCCCTGAGTGTAGGGCCCATATCAGATCATACACTACTGTCAGGGTCACATCTCTGGTTTCTTCGAAGCTGGAGCAGTTCCACACTCTTCCTTGAGCTCAGTTGTCTCTGAAGTCTGTTTGCTCATGATGAGACTCCAGTTTTGTATTGCTAGTAGGAAAAGCATAGAGATGATTTTATATCCTTCCCTTCACAACATGTATTTATAAAAGAGATAAGGGGTGATGTTCTTTGTCATCAAAGCAGTTTTACTCTGTAAGATTCCCAGCAAGGTCCAGTTACCTACAGCTTTCCACAGCCTGGATGATCCACATGTGTCAGGCAAGCTACCATTCCCTTCCTGTCCCCATGGTGATCTAGCTCTTGGATTCTGGGCCTCCATTACAGAGTAGGCAGGGCATTCTTACAGCTGTGAGAGTTAGCATGTAAACTAGAATCACCTATCATGCCTTTTTTATGTGTATTTTAAAACATCATTTAAAGAAGTTGACATATGCACAGATTTACCCAAAACACACTCAACACAGAAAAAGGTGTCAATGATTATGTAAATATCCTGTCATTTGTGTTCATGTATTGTTTTGCCATTAAGACTTTAAATGACTCGAGGGCCTGGCTTTGGGGATAGAGAGTAGCTCCTTGCAGGGTCTCTAGATGGGTGCCCTGCAGTTGTACAAATAGTCTTTCCTCATTTTGCCGCTGAGGCTCTGAACGCCTCTTTGTCAGGGTGGCATTCTGAAGCAGAGTTAACCAGCCTGTGCTTTGCTTTTCAGGTAAACCTCTTGCTGTCCGTTCCTAAATAAACAGGCTGGTCAGGAGGTGGGAATGGGCCAAGAAGTCTTACAGCCTGCAGGACTCTGAGGATCCCCACAAGTGTGCTGCCCAGTGCTGACTGCAGAAGAAAGCATAAACAGAATGTTGAAAAGATAGGAGTTTCCCTCTGGAAAACATCAAAATGCCAAAGATGAATGGATGTGTAGTGATCTCATTTAAATGGATGCAAGAAATGTAAGTTTTTGAGAGGTAGCCATGAGGAGCTTGAGGTGAAATGTTTCTTCATAAAAGTTGTGCAATAAAAATAGGTTACAATAAGTAGTGCTAAGAACTTTATGGAAATACAGCTGATGAGAAAGCTGCTAAAGGTAAGGTTTGCTATTGCATGAAACACAGCAATACTTTGGAAACACTTTTAACCACTGAGCATTCCACATTGACTTTTTGAGACAAGGTTTTGCTGTGTAGTTCAGGCTGGCCTTGAACTTACTGTGTAGCCCAGGCTGGCCTTAAACTTCAGGTGATCCTCCTGCCTCAGAAACCTTATTTCCATATTTTTTGTAATGTTTCTCCTATCATTTGATGTTTGGTTGGGAGTAGCTTCTGAGAATGCATCTCATTTTGCTGACGATTCAGGGTGTTATCTTCCTATTAGATGTGAGGGCTTCGTGGACATCTCCAGGATCTGAACTCCTTGAACTGCTGTGGCGCAGTGTGTTCAAAGCAGGGAGCTGCAGCCTCTTGCTGTAGGCAGGTATAGTTCTTCCATGTGGATCATTACGGTACAGCAGTCAGTGGGGTGAGTGGGAATTACAAATTACAGTGTTTTCATGCTTACGTATAGAGAGGAGGAATCCTGATGCAGGTCTCCTGAATGAAGCTTAGTTACGGTCCTTCTGCAGGCAGCCTCTGTTTGCAGCTGGTATTTGTAAGATGAACACTTTGACCTGTGTTATGTGTCTAGTAGCCTGTGCTGTGCACCAGCCTGGTGGGCCTCCAGCCCTGTCACAGCAGAACATGTTTTGCCAACACACATAGGACAGCAAACACTGCCTACATCTTAGAAACACTGCACCCCATTGGGGATCACACATGAGGCACAACAGCGAGTTTCCTATAGATCCCTTCCTCTTTAAATTTGAAACTAGAGTGACTGTGCCTCTGATCTTGTAGTAGTAAACATAGTGTGGTTCTTGTTTCAAAAAGGGTTCCAAGTTCCTTAAACCCTGGTGTGAAGGCGAGAGGGACACTGCCAAGGGGTCTGGACTGGCCGGCGACCCCTCGGTGTCACTGTGCCAGTGCTGTCCACGTGTGTAGTGCAGTGCTTCCCAAGGTGCGGTTGGTTCCATCCTGGCGTCTGTTGTCTGTAAGGGGTCCCTTGTTTTTTAATCACCTTTATTTTGGCAGTGGATGTTACTTGATGGAGCTTGTCACTTTGTTTTGAGAAGGTGGAAGAGGACCATATTCTTTCTTCACCTTGAAATGAATGAATTAGGAAGATTGTATTTACTTGTACTTACTGTTTTAAATACATGTTCATAAGATAAACTGTAAAATATCTGGTTTTGTGTATTATATGTACATTTGACTTTTAAATAGCCTTTCCAAAGAAATGAGGGCATGATTATTGTACTGTATTGTGACTGATGTCATTTGATATATGGAGCAGAGTGTATTCTTCAGGATAAAAATAATTAATGGCCCTTGTTCTTGTGTTTTGATCTTTTGTTTCTGAAACACTCAAAACACCTTACAAAGTGCTAAGCAGGTGATGGTGATCCAACTTGTTGCTAAGTGAGTATTTGTTTAAATCTGTACAGTTTCAAGTGCTTACTTATACAAAGAGTGTACATACTTTCAAATAATTAATTTAAAATGCTTTATATTATTTGACTAGAAATTGTTTTTAATAAATGAATTTTTTTAAAAAAATAAAGATTTTGTTTTCTATTTTTTGTGTCTAATAAATGTTTGGATTCTTTCAAAGACTTCTAATTGAGGTTTCTCTTGAGAGAATTTGTAGATCTGCACACAGAGAAATCTGTGTGTCCTTTACCCAGTTTCCCCCGTGGTAGCATCCTGCAGACTGGAGCGCAGTGTCATAGTCAGGATACGGACACTGACGTGCTGCACACCAGCCTTCCTCACATTTCCTTTTTACATGCACTGAATCAATTCCTTTGGCAAGGTAATTATTCTGAAAAGGCATTTTTGAACATCTTAATATTTCATTAGTTAAAAGACTTTTTTAGTTAGCTTTCCATTAACTGTAATAAATACCTGAGGTGAATCAACTTACAAAGAGGAAAGGTTGACTTTAGCTCACAGTCTGGGGGCTTCCCCTTTGTGACTGATGGACTCCTTATGTCTGAGGCAGTGCATCATGGCGGGCAGTGTAAAGCAGAGTTACTCACCTCCACTGGGAAGCAACAGAAGAAGAGGAGTGACCTGGGTCCCACTGTTCCTTCAAGCACATACACCACCAACGAGAAGACCTCCCACTACCCCCACCGGCATTAAAGTTTCCCCCATGGGCCTTTGGGGGGAGATTCCATATCATTTCCTACTAGAGGAAAACAGTAGGTTTTTCTTTTATGGCAAAATTGCAAATTTCCTGTCAGCACAGGTAACTGTATTGAAGTATAGTAATATGGTAGTAACAGTAAAACAATTGGAGTGTGAGCCTGCGATTCCAGCTACTCAGAAGACTGAGGCAAGAGGATTGCAAATATGAGGCCAACATGGGAAAAACCCTGTCTCAGATTTTAAAAGGGCTGAGAATGTAGCTCAGAGGTAAAAGAGTGCTTTCCTAGTGTTCACAAGGCCCTGGGATTCAATACCCAGTACTGCAAAAACAGCAACAAAGCCCATATTTTTTCCCTGGTTAAACAGGCCCATATCTTTAAATTCGCTTCTATTACCTTAGGCAGAATAGTCAACCTTAGTTCTTAAAAAGGAGTTTTCAGTTAAATGAACCTGGAGACACTTCTCAAAAAGGAGGGGCTCACTACTTCCTCCCTTCTGTGGAGTACTACTGTGAATATTCTTTTGTTGCTTGCCTGTCTTCAGTCTCTCAGTGTGGACACCAGTGAAGCAGGAGAGAGCTGCTGGAAAACTTACACAATGGTACTCATTTACATAGCTGGACATGCACACTCCTGTGCCATGTCCTAACACTCTGGGAGGCTGAGGCAGGAGGATTCTAACCTCAGTCAAGCCTGTACAACTTAGCAAGACTCTGTCCCAAAAAATAAAAATGGCTGAGGATGTAGCCCAGTGCACAGGTCCTGGGTTCAATCCCCAGTACTGGAGAAAAAAAAAAAAGTCATCCACTACGTAGATATTTTAGGTATACAAGTTTTTGAAAATCTTTTCCAGCTGTACAAGTATGTTCACTGTTAGACATTTCTGTAGTGTTTGATTTTTAATGTGAAATATAAATTATTTCATAAATGAGCCCTCAAACTGTTACTAGTGTTTGACATATAACTTTCAGAATTTTTTATACATATTCTAAAATTTTATTACAAGATTGAGCTCTTGTACATATTTTAGATCAAGGTTTTGTCAGCCTATATAAACACAATCTTGCTGAAGTATTTGAAAATTGTGAAGTCATAATATTTTATTCTAAATACTTTGGGACCCATCTCCTTTTACATAATTCCAATACCATAATCACACCTAAGAAATAAACGCAGTTTATTCTAGTAGGTAGCTCATGTATCAATTTCCTCATATCCCCACCCCACCCACTCTAGTCCAGCCTCACACATATTACTAGGCTGTTACATGTCTTCAGTCCCTTTAATTTTGACCAATCCTCTTACGGATTTTATTTGCTTGTTTTCATGACATTGACTTCCTGTTTTTGAAGGTTTTTTTTCCTCACTCTACTTTTTAAAGAAACCAGTTATCTTTTTTTTTTTAATTTTAAAGATAAAAGGAGGGAAACATTAACAGACATACAACATTTTACAACATATCACAAGCACAGTACAGACAATACAGAGTTACAAACAAAGTGGTAGGGAATTAACAATGCTTGTGGTATTACATATTGATGTCTTCAAAGTGGCTTCTCATGAAAACAGATACAGACATGCAATACTGGTCAACCCAAG